GCCGGTCTCCGTCCCGCCAACTACGGCGGTGTCCGAGGAGGGACAAATCTCGGCGATGCGCGAAGCCGCCCTGCGGCGGACACGCCGGGGCTCCCTCCCGCCCGCACCCCGCTATAGACGGGCTTGAAGGAGGAGACGACCACCGCCTGCTTGGATCTCACTGCTTTATTCACAGACATCAGTTTTGCAGCTGCCCCGAGCCCCGCACCACCCTCAGGCAGCAAATCTTCCCCACACCTCCCGATTAATTAATTAATTAGTCTGTTAATTATGAAGCGCCTGCTCCCCACAGCCTCCCGCATGGCGAGGTAGGTCAGCGGTAGCCCAGCATGGCAAGCGGGGGCCCGCGGGGCACCAGCCACCAAGGACCAGCCCGAAGGTGAAGCTGTCGGTGAATGAGCGCTGCCAACTTGCCTGTTTTAGGGTTATTTTGAAGGAAAAAAGGCTCTGCTTCCCAGCAGAGTCCAGAATTCCCTTCCACCATACAGGTGTAGCTGCTGAATGGAAACAAAAGCGCTGACAGCCAAGTATGTAAAGATCCCCAGGAAAGTGTAGCACCGCGCTGCATGCAGAGCTTCCAAATTGCTTCCCAAAACTGGGTCCATCCCCTTAAGTATTTTCCCAAGTAGGGTACTGAGGCACAGAGAGGTTAATAACAAAAAACAAAACAACCAACTCGCTCCAAGCCATGTGGTGAGTCCAGTCAGAGCTCGAGGGAAGGCAGCGCTCCCAGCCCTGCTCCTGCGCGCAGGCACTGCTGCTTCCCAAGGGAAAGGGAAACATGCACACCCAGACCATGCCTTGGCATCAATAAGCAGCCTGAAGTGCTGGGGGAAGAACAGAGAGAGATGGGATGGAGAAACAGGCGTGGCAATGGAGATCCACCAAGCCCTGACTTCTCTGAAGCATCCCTATGGATTGCAGCAGGAGATGCTCCCAACAGCCACAACCTTTTGCATAGGTGTCAGCTTTTAGTTGCCATTTTCCATGTGGCACAAATGAGACACAATTGCCTCATGCCAGGACTATGGGACACACCATCCCAGTGGAGCAATCCCTGCCTGGCCAAGGAGCACAGACACAATCCCTGCAAAAGCCCAAAGCGCAGCAGGTTTGTGGAGTGTACAATGGAAACGGCTCTGCTGAGCATGAGGATGACACGTCCCTGTCACACTCAGCCAAGTGGACACAGGGACCAGAACAAAACATTTGGAATAACTGCTCCACGAGAGACCCAGCAGGATCCCGTGACAGCTTGGCGAAGACTGAAAAAGTCAATGAAAGAAAGCAAGAGAATCTCCAGCCCTTGGAAAACTTGTCATCTTGAATCTGAATTCTTTGGTGTTGTAGCCAGTCTGCCCTGGCTGTGCTGCTAGCACTCCTTGGCATCTTTGCAGTGACAAGAACTTAGTGGAAGCTTTGTTACTGCAAAGTTAACTTTGTTTTGCTTAGACTCTCTGTCGAGATAAATGTGCGTTTTCTACTGTCCTCGCTGCTCCACCCTGTGGCCACAAGTCCCCGCAGGAAGGCAGAGGGGAGTCACAGAGGGATGAGGAGAGGATTCCCAAGCATCTGCTGAGTGCTGTGACCACGAGCATGGGAAGGCTCAGCAGCATTATGGTGACCATTGAAAGAGGAACTAGTCCCAGAGATGGAAGAGAAGAAAGCCCATGAGCCTGGATGGCAGCTGCAGGGACATCAGGAGCCAGTTCTACAGCACTAGTGACCATAAGGATTTCTGCCAGCACAAATGCATCCAAGCAGCAAGCTCCTGATCAGGTTATGATGAGGTTACAACAAGACCTATTTGGGCTCCAGCCTTGGGGTTTAGCAGCATGTGTTATCTAGACTAACCTCACATTAGATGAAATTTCACTGGGTAGCTGCTACCTCCATCCCCTTCCTCCTCTCCACACCGATGCACCCTTCACCCATCAGCATGGCCCCATAACACTAAGAACCATATGGGCACCAAGAAGTCACAGTATACAGCAAATCACCTATTTTTAAAGGGTGGGAATCTTTAAGCTTCTGTTTGGGGTTGATTTGTTCCTGCCCTCTCCAGCTTCCTCCACTGTGTGGCCCATGGAGTCACACCAGCTACAAGACAGTTCCTGGTTGTGTTGGGTGAAATGGTGCAGAGGAGATGTGAGGCTGAGGTGGAAGAGCACAGCCAGCAGGTCAGGAAGCCAGGCAGTGGAAATGGAAGCCCAAAGGCAGAGCAGTTTAAGCCTCCCTGGAATTTCACCCTAAAGCCTGAGCAAGCATTTTGCAGGGGTTAAAATACAAAACTAGACCTGCCCTCAAGAGCCATTTTCCACAGTGACTGGGCACCTGGGTGTAATGGCAAGAGCTGAAATGATGAGAGAGGTGCTGAGACACTTTCACCAGGACACTGCAGGACTCTGTAACTCCAGGAAGAGCCTAGTTACACTGACAGCCTGCAGTGAGGAACACAGACAGGGGCAGTCATGGTGCAAGAGTTAAAAACTAAACGGGATCAGAACAGAAATCAGCACAGAAATCCCAGGCAAGCAGTCCTCAGCTCTTTCCAGAGAGAAAAGAGACTAAAGGTTTCATAGCACCAATTAATGTCACACAGTGGTTCAGGGCAGTAAAGAACTCCAGCTCCCATTGAAACTGCAGGGGAAACTTAGCTGGGATGTGTCCAGGCACCATGGTCACTGCCCTCAACCTTTGCCCATGAAGAAAGAGCAGATAAAGGAGGGTTTGGGGTAGCTCACTCATGGCATGAAGCCCCATGCAGAACAGAGGTCAAGAGGGACATAAGCACCAGACACTGGAGCTCATGCCAAGGCCACTCCAGCAGCTGGGACAACTACTCCAGACTCCCCTTTCCTCCTGACCAGACCCAATATGGGGATGAGCCAATGTTCTGTCACTATATCCTGCTGCATCTCAGTTGTTCACAACCAACAACTGGCACCCAGCAGCACATGCTCAAAGAGATTGGGAGCCCTGGCTGCTACGGCCTATCCCATGGGGACACCAACAGGACGAAACCACCAGTGCAGAGTTCCTTGGCCATGGACACAGTTCTCCCTGCTACCACCCCTGAACAAGCTAAGCCTGCTTCAGGCCATATGAGGTAGCCCAGAGTGCTCCCCAGTGTCCTTCCTGAGGCTGAGGAAGGAGAATGGGAGTGAGTGTAGGGCAGGAAGGGCCTTACTACAGAGCAACCGACCCACTTTATGGAGGAGCAGCTGCCAGTGAGACCCCAGGAACTATGTGCATGTGTAACCATGTGCACTTTGATTCCAGCATGAAAACTGATCATGTGAAGAGAGGTGGTGGCTGCAGAACCTTCCTTCTCCCCCACAACCTCCTCTCCCCTCATCAGGAGGCCCCTTTCCCATGAACTGCTGTCTGTGCACAGGCATGGTGACACCTTGCTGGCCACTGAAGCTGCACAGTGGGTACAGTTGTCAGGAAAGTAGCAGCAAGACCCCCCCCAGGCCAGTGTTTTTCCAGAAGAGCACTTCTTGGACTCCCGCAGCAGAGTCCTCCTGCTGCCAACACCCATAGAGAGCTCTGACCTCCACTGCTGAGAATCACCACCACGACGAGCAGGCAACAGTTGGCTCCGGTCCTCTTGTGCAGCGCTGAGGCAGGGAGCTGGGGATAACCCCTGTCTGTTGTCGGCAGGCACTCGCAGATGCTGGCTCATGGATCCTTCCCAGCCCCAGGGAGGCAAGGAGACAACCACAGCCTCGGCCGACGAGCAGGTCGGGTTCCCCACATCTCCAGCGCTACCTGAGCTGAAGCTGGCTGAACCAGGTGCTGACAGCACAGTCCACACGCATCACCAGGGAGATCCCCAGCAAGAGGCAGATGCTGCTCACCACAAAGCCCAGCGACTCAAAGAGGAACCTGCAGGCACAACAGATGCAGTAAGGGTACGGCAGCCGATGTGCCTACAAAGGCAGGCTGCTACCCTCACTCGCAGCAGGCTGGTTTTCCTGACAGTGAGAAGTTTGTAGCACCCCAGACCCTAAAACATGGATTATATTAACTCCCCAGCAATTGCTGCCTGCAAACTGTAAGCCAAGCATGCCTCTGGTTTAGAGGCCATTCAGGACAACACCCAGGTGGTATTCTTAATCCCTCAGAGGTCGAGGCCACCCCACACAAATCTATTAGGTTTGCTGGTTTCTCATTTCTGAGTTTACCATTTTTGGTCTGGTATCCCTACCTTTGGCTCTCTGCCCTGAATATTCTTAGCTTCCAGGTGGGTTCTGTGTGTCCTTGAAAATCAAGATAAGGAAAAATTTCCAGGCTGTAGTTCAAGTCCAGCTTCTGAACTTGAAGCAGGAATTATTTAAGGACAGTCCTGTAGCCTTTGCTAGGCAGGAAGAGTCAGAAGACTGATCACAGGATCTCTTCCAACATTATTGTCTATGAACTCTAGTCAAGACATCAGGGATATGAGCCCTAACCCAGCATCAGATCAGCTTCTGGGACTTACTTGGGGGCAAAGACCTTCCAGACCATGAGGTGCCTCCTGAGAATCATAGCTGCACAAACACAGGCCAGAAGCTGTAGGGGAGACCATGAAAAACAAGTTAAAGACTACCCTGGAGAGACCTCCTGGGCACTAGGTTCACATGTGCAGGTGCTACTAAACCGTGCACACCAGAAATAAGCATGCCAAAGAGGATTCCCTTCCATCCTGTCCTCAAGTCAGGCAACAGCAGCAGCTTGAGGCACATGCAGGCCCTCCTGAGGCCAGGCTGGCACAGTGCAGAGGAGGGCTCACACTGTGGCTAACGCGACCTAGTATTTCATGGAGGGGGGCTCTCCTGTTCCCTGCTGCAGGGCCTGACCGCTTCCTTGCACTGACTCTGGTCTGGACACAAAGGAGAATAATTTGGAGGGCTAAACCCCAGAAAGGTATTGGCTTCTTTCACGGAATTACATTTCTGGTGTTCAGCTCCCCCTATCACTACAGCACAGGATCAGATGAAAACCAGAGCTGGTACAGAATAGACAGGCATGGTGGGGAAGAGAGGGAGCAGGATTACAACCCTGCAGTTTCTGAACAGACGTCTCTGCTTTGGGCAGATAGGTATGAAAAGCAGCCTAATCTGTACTGCAGCTTCCATGCTAGAGCCCTTCCCAAAGCACAGAGAAAACGGCATGGCTGACAAGAGGACATGCACAGCTGCCCTTCCACCAGACATGTCACCCTGTCTGTGCCCTGGCTGACCCTTTTCTCTCATCAGAGTGCCCCATGATTCCCACAGCACACCAGTTTCCTGTCAGACAGTCTTCTCCACAGCCTTCCCACATCTGTCCATACCTGTGCCCCAAGGACAAAGAGGTACTTCAGCCCCAGCTGCAGCAGAGCAGTGGAGAACTTCTCTGGGGACTCCCGCAGCCTCATTTCCATCATGTGCTCCTCCACCTCCTGCAATTCCTCTCGGGCCTCCTTCTTGGGCTTCTTCTTCTGCGAGCTGGGCATCTCACACACAAAGGGCCAAAGCAGGAGCAGAGGGCAGCCAACTACCTCAAGGACAAAGGCACATGAAGTTACTCAAGCCCAGGAGGTGAGGAGCAGTCTAGGCTCTGCCATCATGCCCTGGATGTGCAGGAAGCATATACCCCAGCTCCAGTTTGCTGTTCAGGCACAACTGCATGGAGGCTGCAGGCCACGGGCATCTCTGTGGCCCCAGAAGGGGACAGTGAAGATGCTGCTGTTCAGCTGGTGCTGGAGCCTTCATCGCCTCATGGTCAGCCTGCAGGCCTCCAGACAAGGCAAAGCAGTGAACCGTGTCTGCTCAGGCTCAACAGCCCAGGAAGAAAGTGATTTACCTGCAAAGAGGATATGGGAGGCAAAGGTGTTGGCGCCCACCAGGACAGCAGGCAGGAGGTTGTTGCTGTGGTCAAGGTGGAAGCCCACAAAAGCTGCATTCCAGTGGATGGCCGGGAAGATGGGCTGGTGGCCTGTGGAATAGAAGAACTGGGAAGCAGCAAGGAGCCAGGAGATAACTGCATACCAGGGCACAGAAAAAGGCTCTGAGAGATAAAAAAAATAAAGAGGGAGGGAGAAGAAAGATCAGCACTGAGGAACAAGACAGATCCATAGTCAAACAAAGCCTATCCACTTTTCTTCTAGGTTCCTTTTCCATGCTCTTTTGAAGACAGAAACCAGTCAGGCTCCCACCACAGATACAGTGAAGGGCCAGACATATCTCTGCTTCCCTCTGCTGGACCCAGTCAGCAACAGTGGGGTTTGATGCCTGCTTGCGCTCTGGGGAGATGGGATAGGTGTGGAGCCCCCTTCCCTGACCCAAGGGACAACTCCTCTTCCCACATTATGTCCCTGCTGCATGCACCTCTACTAGAGGATCTAAGCAGCCCTGAAACAGCTAGGAGGATCCCTGAGGATCACTGTAACATCAGCCTCCAAAAGCAGAGATTGGACCCTGCTTCGACTGGAAATAAGACATGGTCACAGCAGATAAGGCCCTGGTTTGAACACTCAGAGGATGCTCTATCGAGCTCTGACTCACCAGTGTCTCCAGCAAGGCCTCTGGCACGCGTGTGGATGTGCAGGAGCACAAAGGCCTCCAGGAAGAGGAGCAGGAAGGCGAGACTCAGCCGCTCACTGTGGAGAAGCATCAAGAGGAAGCCCAGCAGGGTGAGTGCTATGACCAGGGCTGCTGAATACACGCTGCCCAGCCCATACGCTGCGATGGTGGCCCTGCAGCTGCCCCGCTCCAGGCGGCTCTTCTGAGACTCCTGCATCCTCTTGTAGATCTGAGGGATGACGTGGAGTAAGTCAACTTCAGAGCTGGGAACCCCCAGGTAGGGAGTGACGATGGATCCTGCTGACTCCCGCGTGTCCTTTGCGAACACCGTCATGGGGTTGCACAACAGGAGCAGCAGCCCCATGGACGCTAGTCCATAGACAGCCCATGGAAAGGCAACAACTGCAACCTGCACCAGCTCCTGCAGCTTGCCCAGAGAGTCATCAGCGCTGGAAGCAACTGCCCAGTAGCAGGCAATGCAGACGACCACCAGTGGGAAACCCCAGCGCACAAAGAGCACAAGGGGGTCTGAGCTGTTGAGGTTGCCGTAGTGTCGCAGCCAGCTCCGCACTGCATAGACCAGCCCGGCCAGCAAGGCCACGCACAGGAGGTAGAAGAGGTTCTTGGCCCGTGTGTTTCTCAGGCTGGCAAGCGGGGAGAGGAAAAGAGAGGGCCGGCACTGAGGAATTTCTTCGCGGCACTGGTGGAAGAAACCAGAGAGGCGCACGCAGACCAGGAGCATGGCCACGAGGCACAGAAGGTACCAGATCTCTCTCCGGTAAGAAGAAAAGCCAAGGACCTGCTGCTTGGGGCCCTCTGGCACAGTCAGGCGGCCGTCCCAGTGGAGCTTCCCTACTAGCAGCATCACCAGTGAGGCCAGCAGGAACGGGGCCACCTGGGCCTCGGCCACGACAAAGCTATCGGAGAACATGGCTCCACAGCGGAAGAGCAGAATGCCCATGGGGAATGCCAGCCCCAGCCACGCTCGCAGCCTCTGCCTTAGCCCAGTGCTGGCCAAGGGTGGCTGACTGCCCACTAAACGGGCTCGCTTGGGATGCCGGCCCCACCAGTGCCAGAAAAATCCCAGCTGAGAAGCAGCGGCTGCACATGAGGACACCAGGAGGAGATCCAGCCCCTCCTGGGTGAATACATGGGCCAGCACAAGCAGAACAGCCACCACGAGGCCCCAGAGCAGCGGGTACAGGAGGCAGCTGCGGTAGAAGTCTGACAATGCAGCCAGCTCTGAGGCCACGTAGCAGAGCAAGCAGGAAGCAGCAATAAGGGTGCAGCCCCCCACCATACGCAGAGAGTTGAAGCGGGCCCAGGACCGAGTGCACACAGCCCGTGCCTCCCGCAGGTAGAGCTGGAAGCGACTGATGAGGCTTCCCAGCCTGGACTCCAGCTCCGGAGGCACCAACGTTGCCCCCTGCACCTGGTCCAAGAGCTGAGTGTGCTCCTCTACAGCTCCGGAGAAGAGCTCCTGCAGGCGCTGGAGCTGCTCTGTGGGCAGGTCCTGAGCCACCAGCGAGTAGGACTGCAGGAAGCGGTCCACCTATGGGAGAGGGGACACAGGGACAGACAGTCAGGGACACTGGGAATGGGAGGCACTGCCTTACACAGCCCCTTCAGAATGGAAACAGCCCCAATCTGCCAACCCCTGCCAGGACAGACTGCTGGTCACCCAAATCCAGGATGTGACCAGCAGGAACACAGTCCCTCTGCCAAAGTGACATCCCACTCAACTGACGTATCCACCTTTACAGCCACACTGGCTCCTCTCAGTTTTTCACCTGCAAGTGCACCTCTGGTAACATGGTGCATCACTAAGGACACAGACACAGTCTTTCTATAGGTGCCCCAGAAGTCTGAGTCGTCACTAGCTATTAATCTGCACCCAATGTTGATCTCACGTTGTTTGCTGAGGATAGATAGCAAATTAAAGAACTTATAGTGGATCAAATCAAACTGTTCCCCCTTCTTCAATACAGGCACATTAACAAACTGTACTACAGTCTAGGGAAAGTTTGTTCTGTTTCTTACTTCAGGAAGACAGGACCAGAGGCAGCTATGACCCCCAAGTCATAAAAAAAGTCTTACAAAGGCATTACCAGGGCAGGGTGCCCTTACAAACATCCAGCTGCTCAACAGTATGTCTGCTCAAGCCCAAAAACACACCCAGATCTTCACATGCCTTACAGCTACCTCAGAGCACGGGCAGAATCAGTCTGCTCCTGCCCATGAATGGCAAACATGTGCACCAGCTCTCTCGCAGGCCTGCACGACCTCCCTGGTATGCAAAATCTTCTTCAGCACCAATGTGGTTGAGCCAGAAACCTTCCCAAATGAGTGCAAATATTTAAACAGGCAGGACTGAACAGTAATTTCTAATAGATGATGACTGATATCCTCAGTAACATAAACTATCACCTCTAAATGACAAAGCACTCTGCTGATCTATAAATACACAGCAAAGAGGCTGAACATTTCTTTCTTTCCATCAGCAATCATATCCTCTCCTCCCTGACGTGCTCCAGTGGTGTGCAACCGGCACACCGAGGAGCTGGCTGGGGACTGGAGGAGTTATTCTTGTGCTCCTCACAATTCAGGGGTCCTTCTTCGAAGGCAGACTGGCACTTTGCTGGCACGTGCCTTGCAACACGTGTGGCAAATCTGGCTCTGTAGCATGCTGAGAGCTACAAGTCAGCCCTCATATCCTCCATGGAGGCTCTGGCTTGCCCTGGCATGTGGCCTGCTCCACTGCCTGGGCTTCCTTTACACCTGGCACAGTCACTCTCATTCACATTTTGTCATTCAGCTTTTGGGGTTCTGTATTTTGTTGTGCTTGGTGTAACCTGCTCCTTCTCTTTCCCACATGTTACACCAAACCTCCTCCACCAAACAGAAGAGGTCTGTGTTTAAACAGCTATTCCTTCTCCTGTCTGGTTCAATGGGAGGCCTACCATAGCCATACCTGCTTGGCATTGATGTGATAGACCGAAAGCTGCTGCAAGGCTGCAGACACAGCGTCGCCATCCCCGGAGAACAGCTCAGCCATCACCTCCCCGATGTTACTGTAGGGGATGGGCACACCCAGCAGCAGGGCCACAGTGGGCACCAAGTTCACCTGGGGAATGGCCTCTGGCTCCTGGAGACAGGGGAGGAATCAGAAATTCGGGAAGAACACAGCCACACAGCTTTTCACTTGGGCTAGAGGGTGATGGGGAAGATAATCCCTCTTCAGAGGGGAATCTGGGGAAGCCAGGAGTGCGAAAATGCAGGGGAAGGCAGAAGCTCTGCAATCCCCAAAGACCCTGTGGAGGGCAGGTCCCTGGGTATGGCCCTGGCTGTCTAACAACTCACTTGGCCTCACCCCAAAACCTCTCACAGCCTGAACACAGGTCTCAAACTCTTCATCCACCTGCATCCTTTGTCAGCTTTTTCATTGTTCTCCTATGTAAGGTGACAGACTCCCCATCCCTCTCAACCTAAACAACCCCAATGGAACCTTTATGCTCTGTAATGCCCGGGTGCAGTTTTTACCCCAGAAGCCACCTCAGGCAGTGACAGCTAAGGATCAGCTTCTTCTCACCTCTGGAGGGACAGTGCCAAATAGGGGTGTTCTGCTGTACACAAACAGTGCTGCATTCACTTCCTTCTCACTCTCACCACCATGATCTCCCGTCTCGGTCATGCCATGGTCCCCAGCCACCAGAAGAAGGGTGTCATTCCCCAGGTGATCCACCAAGGACCTGTCATAGGGGTAAGGAAGGTCAGCCTGTACTTGGGCACAGGCCCAAACAGCCTAAGTAGGAGAGGGCATGTAACCACCAAATCTGCCTGCACCACAGAAGTGAAGCCCACAAAAGGATACGGGCAAAACTAAGTGCTGATGCAGAGCTTTAATAACTGAGCCACATTCCAGGGCAATGCATACTTTAAGACCAAACTGAAAATGCAGAGCCCTGAGACAGAGTGGACTGATCTTGCTTAGGCTCCCAGTGAATGCTGGTTGGTTCCTCAGTGCCTTCAGGGACCTTGACAAAACACAATTCAGAAGAAAGGTTCCCAACAGAAAAAAAATTTAGGCTGCTTCTATTTGGGTCCTATATATTGCATCATGGTGTGTGAGCAATCTCCTACTTTTCAGTAAAAAAGGGGGGGATTTGTCTCTCAAGTATACTGTAGGTATGGCACAATATATACTGCACTCTTAGGTGCAGCAGGGCAAGCTACCTGCTCCTTATAACAGCAAAGATTAAAGCAGTGCCTGAGAGTCAAAAGCTGCAGCTTTTTGAGCAGAGGCATGGCTGTGTGATGAGGATTTCTGGATCCCATTCTGCCCTCTGACACAGAAGTGCAGCTCATGCGCCTGTGCAATAAATGCAGCATTCCTTAGCTGGGGTTCTCCACGTGCTTCTCAAACACTAGCCAAATCTCAGTGTGACAAACTCCATTTTAAAGATGGAAGGAGTGAGGCTCACCCACATTCCAGCTGCACCACCACAAGATGGTTTGGTTCAGAAACAAGGCTCCAAGGCCTGAAGACAGCCTTACCTCTGAAAGCAAACCTCTTGTGAATACAACCAAGATTGCCCCAAAGCTGGGGTTTCATCTGCTGCTGGCCAAAGCCATTCTCCTTGTAACAGGCACTGTAAGCACCCCCTGTTGCCCTCTGCATCTGTAAATCCCCTGGGAAGATGCCACCAGCCTGGCTGAAAGAAGAGGCCAGCTGACAACCCTGCACCACCACACCAATCACCTGAGCATCTCGTTCATCTGCGTGAGCTTCTTCGCCATTTCGGGATGGTCTGGCCCGTGTTTGTGTCCACAGTGGTCCACACCAAGGAAGTGAGCAATCAGCATGTCCCATTCACCACTGTCCACTGCAGAACAAGAGCACCCTTATCACATGCTAGCCTGGGTTCAGGCACACACTCTGCACTTGGATCCTCGCACCAGAGTTTTCTGGTTGCCTCTGGAAACTGCTGTTTCTTCCCCTCCTGCCATTATCACTCCCAGCTCTCAAGTAGATCGATGCAGGTTTTAAGAGGCACACTCTTGGCCTGTAGGTGGCAGGGGGCAATGCCACGGGGAGCCCAATGCCTCGCAAGTGCCCCAATACCCAAGGGGTTTATCCTCCATCGTGCAGGAGAAGAATGGCCAAAGTCGCATTGAAATACCCTTAACTCGAACTGCCACAAACTGAGCTAAACCAAGGGGATGCTCAGGAAAAGGAGAACCCAGGATACCAGTTCTCCCCTGGAGATATTTCAAGTTGGACTCATCAACATGCCCCTCCACATCCCAGTTAGGATATGAACACAGAACACCAACCAATGCTGTCCCTAGCTAGAAAGTTCCTCCAGCCTCTCCCCTCTGCTTCAGGGCCGTGACACACGAAACCCAACACATCTGGAGTTAAGCAATGAACTGCAGAACCACAAGGCACAAGGACATCCCTGTGAAAGGCCACTGCGCCCTTGATTCACTTAGATTCATACACAGATAAAGCAAAAGCATCTCCCTTGGCCCCAGAATCTCAGAGAGGAGTCTGAAATCACCTAAAATTCAAAAACCAATCTCATATGTCACTTTTTCCCAAGACTAGCAGCTATGCATGCTCTGCTAACAGCACTGCTGTGCTCCAGCATCCCAGCTGGTTTTCCTAGAGCACTGTGTGCCTGCCTAGGCAGCCATGCATCAAAGCTAAGCTGCTCCTGTTCCATCTTGGCAGTGTCTATCTAGGACAGATGTAGATGCCTGACCTCATCCTATCAAGCTGCATTCTCTCCCAAATGGAGGAAAGGTATTTACAGGAACAGTTTACAGGCCCCAAAAGCTGGCTTATCAGCTAGAGCACTGTAATCCCCAAGCAGCAGCATGTGACTGTCCAGTGCCAATTCCTAACAGAAAAAACTCATCAGTCCTACCCCAAACTTGCAGCAGGACCCCCCCATAAATTCAAAAATTACCATAAAATGGTTTGTGTTGAAGGGACCTTAAAGCTCATCCAGTTCCAACCCCCTGCCATGGGCAGGGACACCTTCCACTAGAGCAGGTTGCTCCAAGCCCCTGTGTCCAACCTGGCCTTGAACACTGCCAGGGATGGGGCAGCCACAGCTTCTCTGGGCCCCCTGTGCCATGGTTTAAGCCCAGCCGGTAACTCAGAACCACGCAGCCGCTTGCTCATTTCCCTTCTTTTCCTCCCCCTGCTCCTGGGGAGATGGAAAGAAGTATCGGAGGAATGTAACTCCCACGGGTTGAGATAACAGCTCTCCAGTAACTAAGGTATAATACAAACCACTACTGCTACCAACAATAATGACAAGAGGAGTAACAAGGGGAGAGGACACAACCGCTCACCACCCGCCGACCGATACCCAGCCCGACCCGAGCAGCGATCTGGGCCTTCCGGGTAACTCCCCCCAGTTTCTATACTGGGCATGATGTGCTGTGGTATGGAATACCCCTTTGGCCAGTTTGGGTCAGGGGTCCTGTCTCTGCTCCCTCCCAGCTTCCCCTCCTCCCTGGCAAAGCATGAGACTGAGAAGGTCCTTGGTCAGAGTAAACGTTACTGAGCAACAACTAAAAACATCGGTGTTATCAGCATTGTTCCCAGGCTGAAAGTCAAAACCACAGCACTGCACCAGCTACTAAGGAGAAAAAATGACTGCTGTAGCTGAACCCAGGACACTGTGCCAGTGTCTCTCCACTCTCACAGGGAGGAACTTCTTCCTAAGATGTCATCTCAATCTCCCCTCTGTCAGGTTAAAGCCATTCCCCCCCTGTCCCATCACTACAGGCCCTTGTCAAAAGCCCCTCTCCAGATTTCTCATAGCCCCCTTTTAGATACTAGAAGAGTGTTACAAGGTCTCCATGAAGCCTTCTCTTCTCTAGGCTGAACAACCCAATACTCTCAGCCTTTCTTCATGGGAGAGGTGCTCCAGCCCTGCAATCATCTTCATGGCATGCACTGCCAGGTCATGGTGAGCTTCTTGTTAATAACCACCCCAAGTCCTTCTCAGGGCTGCTCTCAATGCAGTCTCCATGCAGCCTGTATTTGTGCGTGGGATTGTCCTGACCCAGGTACAGCACTTAACCAGGACTTGGGGAAAGAGCTGCTTACCAGTTGGATACAGATGCTGCAGGATCCCATCATCCACAGTGTGAAGATCCTTCACGTTAAAAGAAGGGAAGAAATATGAGCGGAAAAACTTCTTTGGGAAGAGTCCCTCCCAGGTGTCATCACCCATGAAGACCACTCTTCTTCCTGAGTCAGCAAGAAAGGAATTAATGAGACCAGGGAGCTCACCCAAGTCATGCTGTTATCCACCCTAGCGCAAAGAACCTGGGCAGATCCAGGTTAGGGTCTGGAGCACTGGCTGTAAATGAGTTTGAACACAGGCAGCAACCAGCCCTGTTTCTGAGCCTACCAAGGTCCCCCACACCAAATCCACTTGCGCCAAATCCACCTCTGACACACCACCCCAGCAGAAAAACCAGAGGGTTAAACAAGCCAGGAAGCAGGTCTATTAGTACAGTACCTGCCTGTACTAATGCAGCACTTAGGAAGGTTCAGCACGAAGCAGACAAACCCTCCCTGAAGGTGCCACTGTAAAACACAAGGCAGTAGATAACTGCTGACAGGGGGTGAGTAGCAGCTGTGAGCCCTGCCTCCAGCTTATAATACAACAGTGGTGGGTTTTCCTACACAAAAAAGAGAAGGCAAAAGCACTGGTCCTTCCCACTGCCCTCGCTCTGCTTGCTTTGACTGCTACCACCAAGCCCTCCACATTTTCACATCGCATCTCCAGCCTGGGAGCAGAACTATTTCCTGCAAGGCTGCTGCTCTGGCACAAGGTCTATCTGTGGTTTTTGTATTGGATGATTTACTCAGTTTGGCCTCTTTGCTCACGCACACGGGAGGGGACAACCCAGTCACGTTGCCTCATCCCAAGCACTAGTATTTGTGTCACTCTGACCCCTAGAAGGAAATCTCTGTGGGTAACACCGACTGTGTCCCATCCCCTTCTCTCTATTCCGTTGTCCCAACTTAACAAGCCCTTTACAGCTGCACTAAGCACCAAACAACGCAGAAAATGCACTGAGGTCTCTGCCCACCAGCTGCAGGCAGCGGGCCAGGCAGGCTTGTGCCTGAGTGACAGCCCCACAGCACACTGGCACCAGCTCCTCCCTCATCATACAGCTCACCTGAACGCAAACATGACACATCCAACTGCCCTTGGCTTCGTGCAGCCATTCCTGGAGGTGACCTTGCGGCAGTCACCATCAGCACGGCCACTTTCATTGCTTTCTCTTCATCTCTGAAGATGAAGCCATGGTCCTAACTACTTCCTACTCCCAGTACAAGATGGAGAAACCCTGCCTATGTCACAACTGTCATGTGAGTCAGGCTAAAGAGTTAACTGGCAGGGTGGAGGTGTTGTAAGCAGCTCCCTTCCATGGAGAGGTGAATAAAGGTCTTGTGTGAGCACTCTGGGGGCCCCAGCCCCTGCCCACCTACCATTCTGTACCAACTGTGCCAGCAGGTTGTCCTCCTGGATTGCATAGGTGGCAAAGTTGCTGCCCACGTCGATGAAAGTGGGCAGTGACCCCGTGGTGAGGCCCTTGATGCGCTGCATGGTGGCGGTGGGGGGATCAGCTCGGAAGCGGTAGAGACGGGCATGGCGGGGCTGGGAGGTTGCGAGGTGGTGCAGGAAACTCAGCTTGTTCTCATAGGGCAGCGGGCTGGCTTTGGCTGGGTTGAAGTGGGCAAACTCGAAGCGGAGAGCATCGATGATGACAAGCACGGCCTTGGAGAAGCGCTGGGGTGCCCAGCAGGAGCCCGGCGGGAGGCTCTGTCTCTGCCAGGGTGGCGGCAGGAGCGGGTCGGAGCAGGAGCTGCTG